CCCCAAAACCCCAAAACCCCAAAACCCCAATTTGGAATTATAATATTGAAAATCAGCAGGAAATGGAGGAGCACAATAGCGATTTCAGCGAAGATAGCGATGATGGGGATAATTCTGACGAGATCAGCTGGGTTTCATATGGACTGATGGCCAGTGTTACCATGGTCGCTTATCAATTCTTTCTGGTATATTTCATGAATGCTCCTTCAACAATTATAGTAAAGATTACAGTGTCATTAGTGTTAGGAATATTATTGTTCACATTAGAATCTTCACTTAAACTCATAAGTTATTTTAAATACCGAAATGCTCCCAAAAATAGACATAGATTTCTTAGCCATGAGTCTGCGACAAGAGAGTATGATGAATTATGCATTGAGGAAGAAAATAGCTCCAATGAAGATACACAGGGTTACAAGAATTCACTTTGTAGATGCATTTCTTCATTCTTCAAGAAATTTAATAACGAGCGATATTCCCAAGGGAATGATTGCAACTATTCTAAGAGGAAAGTCTCATATAGTAAATCCAATCCGAGTCAATATGAGGAAGAAAAGCAGTCTAGACTCCATCAGGCTTTGATAAAGAAAGACAATGATACTAGTAATCCCTATCAAGGAGTTGGTTCTTGATTTAGAGCATTAAAAGGTTCCAGACAAAATTTTAGCAATAGATGATCCTACTTCGCTTCAGAAAAGAATGATGATTCTGAAGAAGCTTCTGGGTTTCGAAAATCAAAGAAAGAATCTTTTATGAAATCTGATACTGATAAATCTTTATATGTCCATCAAAGAATCCTTGAAAAAATCCAGGAACAAGAGCAGCAGCTTTCAGAGTTTGAAGAGGATGATGATACCAGAACCTTTGAGTGTTTTCAAACATGTAATTTAGCAATTGGAGCAATTCTGTTCAGTCTTTCTCACTATGGTTTCCTGTATTGATTCGAATCAAGAAGATATTACTCATCATCCTCCAGTAGGCTTCCTGACAAGGATCTGAACCATACATGGATGTACGGGCAGACATTAGTCATGATAATTGTTCCTCTCATCTTCTTGATGGTCTGGAAGATTTACAAGTGAGATAAGCCGGTATGGGTAAGAATGGCAACTACACTCATACCTTTCTTGATAATACTATCACTTGTCCTTACTTCATGGAAGATATATTACGAATTACACTTCTTTGCTGTATATTGTTTTGAAATAACAGCTTCTATTATATTTGCTATTTCCTTGACTATTATCAAGTACACTCAGAAATGGAAGGATTTAGAGAGAGAAGACTCTAGTTTTACACAAAAATCTTACATGCAGACTTTGAGAGCGATTATATATTCAGAGTTAGGGTTGTCCATCGCCTTTCTTGGGCTGAAATACATTGATTGGTATCCGAGAATTTACTCAGAAAAAGTCTTTTATAGAAGTCTTGTATGGTATGAATCATTATTTAATCCATTTATTTTGCTTGTAGGTGGATTTTATTTATTAAGTATTTTCTTACTTTCTCACATGATGTCACAAACAAAAGAGAAAGGGTCTTACAGTATTTGGACACCAAGCAAAATCAGGGTATCTACTCTTCTATGTATGAAGGCGTTTGAATCGGAAGCTCTTATCTTGATCAGCCTTTTTAATCATAGTGAAGAGCTTGATATACTTGATATGTTGGGGATGTTCATATTCATGATCGCTTTATTGATAATGAGCTGTGATGATACTTCTACAATTCTAATGCAAACTATTTTTGCTCAAGAGAAGCCCAATTTTGAGACATTTATTTCAGAAAGACTTCAACTCCAACATCCTACTATTGAGAGAAATTTCGAGTACTTTGTAGTAGAGACAGATGAGAGTATGCTAGTGAAGCATCGAGAGGCAGTCTCAAAGCATTATAAAGAAGCCTCTATTCAAAGATTTAGTTTAAAATTTTACGGAATTAATATACCAAACGAAGGAGTTGAGCCAAATGACGAGAAGGATCTAATAAGAAAGGGTCTCAATGAGTATATAGAGAGACTTATGTAAACTAATTTCAACTCCTCCTAATATCAGAGGGGTTTTGGGGTTTTGGGGTTTTGGGGTTTTGGGG